TTTAATCAATATAATAATTTTAAAAATAGTTTTTTTCAATAAATCAATTATTAATGATGAAATAGTATGTGCATAATCCTAATAATTGCAAGAATCTTGTACTGGTATCCCTGTAAAAAATTTATTCTGTGATTACACTCAGTGTTTTTCAGTTATTAGATTCAGTTTTTTTCCATTTATAATAATATTAACTAGAGCAATGACGAGCGGTGGGTGATAACCACCACCATTCTTACAATAAACACTTACCCACTTCCCCCAGCTCGAGCATCATCATTTTTTCTTTTGTTGTTTCTTTGGGCATCTTTAAAATCTAAAAAAAAGAAGTTTGTATTTGATCGATGTGTACACCATTAATTATTTATCCTATTGGTTTTTTTTTGGTAGGACAGATGCGAATTGATTAATTTTTATTTGTATTGACATAATGTGACGTCTTTTAAATATTTTAATTGGAATCAGAACATGAAGCAGATCTTGCTGGGTAATTATAAAATGGTTAACAAATGAATGGTATTTTACTTTGCATAATCATTAATAATAATAATATACTATAATTTAACTACAAGATTTCAAAGCAGCATGACTGACTGTTGCAGAAGAAACATTTCGATATGCGATGTTTGATTATCGGAAATTAGTAAGTGTTGAAGCACACATGCTACCTTGAACATTACAGTCATTCACACATCTTCCTCGTGTACATAAGGCTAATCTGACCAAGTTTTGCTCAATGATATTGTTGCAACCAAATTCCAGGGGAGGGGCCCATGGTCCTGGAGTTTACCAAGACTGCATCATCAATGACACTTTCACTAATCTTCACAGCACCAGACCAGAGAAGGCTGCCATTCCAACCAAAAAGTTGTCTGCAACAATCCTACCTCTAGGGTAAGGATGGATCTGCAACCAAGAGGTCTCAACTCTGCAGAAATATTAAGAGAATCTGCAACTTGTTTCAAGCACAGGAAGTCACAATTCAGAGCAGGGTTGATGGCCCTGAAATTGCATTTGGGCTCTGATGTTAAGAGGAAAGTTGTAAAATAGTGTTTGTTTTGTATAATTTTTTTCATAAATTTTCTGTTTCTCTTTAATTTTTGTTGACCAACTGAATTTGTTGTTTTTTTAAATGGGAACTTTTTCCCATATAACCTCCTACCCTAGATTAAAGGATTGTAGCTCAATGAGAGCATATATCTCACAAGTATAAAGGTGGCAGTTTGATTTTGCCACTCCTATTGTAATAGTCACCATGATCACTGGCATCAAGGAGAAAGCTGTAGAATAAAATGGTTTGGATTTTGTTTGGTATGTTATAAATTAATCATTTTCTGCTTCTCTTTAATTTTTATTTGACCAACTGAACTTGTTATTTAAATAAATGGAGTATAATTGTTGGTGAGTAGGCATGCCACTAACAAGACAGTGACCCAAGACTCAAAACTCCAAATTCAGGGAAATACCAAAACAGCAACCCAGGTTGCAACTTCCAAGTTGGAGAATTTTCAATCAGTTGCAGGTGACAACTTTTATGCTAGTGTGGCAATAACATGCAGCAATCATCACACAAATGCCAGCTATCAATGATCAATGCCTATATAATAACAGCCAAGCCTAGTCTGAGAGGAAGATAAGGGAATGTTTTGCCCAAAGCCTCCCAACATATAAGTCTCTTGCCTGTGGAAAAAGTACCATAGGGGTGGGATGGTGTGAAAGCACCCGTTTGCAATTATTTGTGACTGGAAAGTTTTAATTAAATCTGACACCTGCAATCAACATCAGATTTATTATTGATAATCAGGAAAAGTAATTTATTTTGTAAACCCCAGAGATCTGGGTAGACAGGCATTATTAAAGTTTCATTCATACATGGCCTTGGTATCATTACTACCTGAGTGATGCAATTGTTTGTTATGTCAATTATAACATCATCATGACCATCATGAATATTTGATGGATGGAGGCATTCACATACAAGGAAATGAAGGAAATGATTAAATAGCC